TATTAATTAATACTTATTAATATTGCAACCTTGAATATTGTGTAAATATACAAGTATTCTAGATGCTGTAAATAGCCCAATCAGGGTGTCTTAAACATCCTATCTCTTATCTTTATTTCAAAGAATAGTAAATAAATTTGGGATTAAAAGGAATTCTTTTTAGAAAGTATATCATTTCACTCTTTGAACTCCTTCGTCGAAATCAATTTCATTTATAGGTACACCTAAAAATTTCGAGTCACTCTTGAAACTTTCGAATATATTTTCAAAATAATTATTAAATCAAATTTATGTAAATTGCTCCCTATTAACCTACTGTAATTTATTTTAAGTACATTCGAAATGAAATACCTAAAAATTCTTAACATTATTTAATTAACGAGTCTAAAGGGCTGAAACATTATATTTTATACTTACACATATTTTATTTATTTATACTTTACACCACGTTTCACTTTAAAAGAATTTCTTATTGTAATAAAACATTCTCCGTCCATTGTAATTAAAATTTGTTATATAGCATAACTAGTCTAGAATGGTCATTGGCTGTCTTTCTTTAATGTCAAATCTAAGGGGTTAATACACAATATTTTGTACCCACACATATTTTATTTATTTATACTTTCCACCACGCTTTTTTTAAAATTAATTTCTTATTTAAATAAAATATTTTTCAGCGTCCGCTGTAATTAAAATTTGTTCTGTAATATAGCTAGTCTAGAGTGGTCATTGGCTATCTTTCTTTAATGCCAAATCTAAGGGGTTAATACACAATATTTTGTACTCGCACGTATTTTATTTATTTATACATTACACTACGTTTCATTCAAAAAGAATTTCTTATTTTAATGAAACATTCTTTGTCCATTGTAATTAAAATTTGTTATGTAATATAGCTAGTCTAGAATGGTCATTGGCTGTCTTTCTTTAATGCTAAATCTGAGGGGTTGATACACGATATTTTATACTTACACATATTTTATTTATTTATACTTTCCATCACTCTTCTTTTAAAATTAATTTCTTATTTAAATCAAATATTTTTCAACGTCCATTGTAATTAAAATTTGTTATATAACATAGCTTGTCTAGAATGGTCATTGGCTGTCTTTTTCTAATGCTCATTCGATGCATTCGCAACCCGGTGCAATTGCTTCGTAGCAATGTTGCGTTGAGTAACTGAATTATGGTTGCTGAAAGATTTCTCGGTTCGCCATATCCACGGTATCGACGTATCCACGCGCCTTCGGCGACGTTCGCGAGTTAAGGGATAGGAAGCGAAGGACAACTTCCGTTTAAGGGTTATGCCTGACCGATACGGCTAACGGGTTCATTCCATTCGTAAAATCGAGAAAGAAAAATCCAAGGTGTACTCGCTGAGAATTCTCTACAGTGACACCTGCTCGTACATCGCGTTTTTGCAGGGATATGTGTATGATGCATTGGAAACTTTCGTTTCTTGGAAATCATTTAATCCTTCTTTATTATGCGAATCCAGAAGTCTTTCCTCTATCTCGTCTACATTTTCCTTTCAGAAAATTCGAATATTTTCTAGAGTGAGAATGATTTCCTATAGCAAGTGTTCGGTTAACTATCTACATTCGATTAGAAATTAAGAATAAGATGTTAAAAAAATGATTTTTTAAGTACATGGATTGACAGATGCAAGGGAATGAAATTGTCTAAAAGAAGAGAAATTTTGACTAAATCTATAGCAAATAAAATTTATAGAAAATACGATTCTGTATTAAAATCAATCGCAATTAGAATTGGTATTTGATTTTATTACCATTGAATAAAATCCAAGAAAAATTCGAATTCTTAAATAGCCAAACCTCTAATCTCATACAAACAATCTACTTCACAATAAAGAATGGAAAAAGAATTATAAAAATCCTGAAATATAACCAAGTCTTTAACTACATTAACCAATGTCCACATAGTTTGTCCACCAATTTGTCCACAATTGGTCCACGCAAACAAATTTCTATAAGAAGAAATAATGAAGACAATTACCGAAATCTTCAGGTAATTAAATCTGCACTAATTAACTGATCCAAACATACAAACTTCTTCAATAAAAGAAAATAAAAAAAGTTATAGAAACCCCATTAATTTCACACCTATGTATATCTTCCATCATAATCTTTCATCGAAGTCTCCACCACCCTTTGGGACCCCATTCCCTGGCAACCACCCCATTGCCCATCCAGTCACACGAAAGTGGAGAATTTAACCAGTTAGCTGTGGCGCCCCCTTTTGAGAGCGCGCACCTATATGTGTCGCGAAAATCGAGCGATGACGAGTATACTCGTCAATCACAGAGTAAGTGTCGCTATTAAAATATTGGATCAAAAAGATGAGTTTATTTTATAAAATTGACAATTTTATTACTAATATTTACTTATTTGAATAACATCTATTCTCTTATTGGTTAGTCTTTATGTTAGTTTTATTTATCTAAACATCTTGAAATTTGAGAATATATTTAATTTTTCACAAAAATTTAAATAGCCAATTATCACTACTTTTTACGCACGAGGAGTATACTCGTCATGACACAAAATCCTGCTACTTCTTCATGACGAGTATACTCGTCAATCACAGCTAACTGGTTAAATTGAGATGGTCAGAAATCAACCTCTCTTTTTTATTATTATTTAATTGTAATTTATCTGCTGTTAACCTTTTGAGGGTGTTTAGGTTAATTGGTGTTTATTATAGGTGTTTCACGTTTTATATATATTTTGCTAGTGTTGAAGACCGTAAAACGGAGGAGAAATCAAGCTAATAAATATTACGAAGATCATTCGCGTCCTGGAATTAATCCCATGGCGAATGCAAACGGCGCTAGGTCTGCTCTTTTCCGTTTCGTTTCATTCCGTTCCAGCACGTTCCGTTCGTCCAGCGGACATATTAGGCTACCTGAACTAAGTGACCGGCAGCTACGAGATATCTGGGCGTTGATTCGTTCTTAGGAAGCCTCTCTCCCCTAGATTTGCAGGAATCTAATGCCGATATTAAGCGACCGGTCCCCGGGGTTGACGGGGTTCGTTATTCTTCGAAATAGTTAGCCCCCGTCCGCAGCGAGACTCGCATTCCTTCGATAATCGATCGCTGGTCATACGCTGAGATATTCAAGCGGCGATTTGTTGCCGGCCTCTTCCTTTTTCAACGCGTGTCTTCCGCTTTTTCCTTAGGCGGCTGATTCGTTATCAGGTAGCCGCTCGATACAGGCTCGTTTCGGTGTTTCTTTGTTCCATGGGAATATTAATTCGATATGCGTGTTCCTGTATTTTTTCTTTTCTTTTTCTTTTCTGGTGCGAGTGTGGAAGAGTATGCGTTTTATTTTTATTATCTTTCGGGTTTGTTAACTCTTTTCTATCGCCAGAGTTTCATTTTTAAGGCTATTTTTAGTTAGAATAATTTATATTATAATATTTGTTGCTATCTGTTATTTTATTTTGGATATTTATTAATTATTATTGCGTTTCTTCTTTTCTGACGCGAGTGTAGAAGAACATGCTTTTTATTTTTATTATCTTTAGGGTTTATTATTTATTTTTTATCGCCAGAGTTCCTTTTTTAAGTGCATTTTTAGTTAGAATAATTTATATTATTGGTTGCTATCTGTTATTATATTTTTGACATTTATTAATTATTATTACGTTTCTTCTTTTGTGACGCGAGTGTGAAGGAGTATGCCTTTTATTTTTATTATCTTTTGGGTTTGTTACCTATTTTCTATCGCCAGAGTTTCTTTTTTAAGGGTATTTTTAGTTAGGATAATTTATATTATTTGTTGCAATTTGTTATTGTATTTTTGATATTTATTTATTATTCTTGTAAATCTTTCTTCTTTTGTAACACTAGTATGGAGAATAATGCTTTTTATTTATTTTATTTTTCGAGTTTGCTACCTATTTTCTATCGCCGGATTTAATTTGTTAGGGTTTCGTTTAGAATTCTTCGAGATTTTTCTGTCTTTTAAAATAATTGATATTATTTGTTGTTATTTATTATTGTATTTTTAATATGTATTATTTATGTATTTATTATTGTGTTTTTCCTTCTTTTCTGATGCAAGTATGGAGGACTATATATTTTATTTTTATTGTCTTTTATGTTGTTACATATTTTGAATTGTCAGAGATTATTTTTTTGGGAATTTTTTAGGGCCTAGTTCTTTGAGATTTTCTTTATTCTTTGGAATAGTTTATATTATTCATTGCTACTTGTTACTGTATTTTTGATATTTATTATTTAACATCGTGTATCGCTTAAAACTCGGTTGAGAATTATTTTCGAGAATTTCTTAGATTTACTCTCTTTCAATTTAATCAGTTTTCAATTGTTTTGATTTTTATTATTTCTTGCTTTCGTTGCTTAATAGTTAACATCTATTATTCTTTGTATTTACTGCTACCGATTTACTTATTTATTATTCCATAGTTCTATTCATTAGATTATTACTAGGATTTTTGTGGAAATTATTTTTTAGATTTTTGTGGATCTACTTTTCTACAATTTTTCTACTGCTTTGGATTATTTTTTTAACACTTGTTATTATTCGTTATCATATCAGAATCATATTATTACAATAGAATTTACTAGAAATTATTTTCTAATTATCTGTAGATGAACGCCATTATAATCTCTTTGTCTTCTCCACGTTTATTATTTCTTGCTACCTATTTATTATCTATTACAGCGTCTTCTTTCCCTTATACAAGTGGAAATGCAAACTTGATGTACCGCAATACCATTAACTCACGGTTCAAAATGCGGAGGTTGCAAAAGAAGAGAATTTTCTTCGCATTAAGAATCCTGGCAATTTGGAAAAATCCGAGATAAATAATGGAATTGCGTAGCAGAGGGCACGAAATGCAATAAAAATTAGTAAACACGATATTTCATACCATTATCGATACATTAATCATTGTTGGATGCGGTAATCGCTAACGCGGCAATGACTGATGAAGAATGGTTTCCGCTTGCAGGGCATAACCACATCAGAAATCCAAGTGTACCGGGTGCTCTCAGTCAGATCGATAACAAAACCCTTCAATGGTTCGGTGCCACGGTTTCCGCGTCGTTCGAAGATGGAGGACCCATAATGGTGAGTAAATCTACCAAATTCTCTTCATCCACTTTCAAATACCTTTCCCACTGCAATTATACTCCTCAGACTCCTTTTACATCGCGTGACAAATTTTTGAAAATATCGATTGACACCGACGTATATAATTTGTTTTAAAAAAGTAATTTATTTCCTAATATTAAATAAATATTTTATTCAATTATTCAAAAGTAAACGAATATATTAATATATAAAGATAACGCCAAGTATATTTTCTCTCAATTCTTCATTTATTTATTTATTATTTTTTGTAATAAAACTTGACATTGAAATTAAAAATAAAATAATCACATTGTAGTAAAAAGATAATTAAATCGTTTGATAAAAAAATAATTACGTTATTAGATTACTGGGTTATCGGCCTAGTTAGATTATTTGTAGTTGGCGAAATTTATAGCATTTCCCCTAGTAAATAGGGGAAAGGGAAATATATACTACTATATAGGATACGTTCGGTGTTCCCTTTTTATGTTCCAAAGGAGCTTATGAAGGTACAAAGCGGTAGTTACGAATAGTCGAGGGGGTCTTGTGAGAAATTACAGGCGTGTATGTTCTTAGAAGACCGTACCTTCTATTTCAGGAATCGAAAACAAACGAATTCTGGTTTCGTTCTATGTTTCCGCTGGATGTCTAAACGTCTTGCTATTATATCGGACCATATATAGTTACATCGATGGTTGATAGGGTTGTGAAGCTTATCTTGATCAAATAAGCAACGAGAGTGTAAAATAGCGTGTGGAAAGGGTCAGAAAATGTTACAAAATAATTCAAGGAATACACGTACTTTCAGAACCCCGTATAAGACTTTCAAATCACTGAATTTCTCTAGAAAATTATTTTTGATTCTTCCCATAAGTTTTTCGATGGAGTTTTGAGTATATAATTTCTAGACAAAATTCCTTCGGAAAATATTTAACAAAATTCTACAGTCCTACGTGATACAGATTTTTATTTTATTGTATTTAAATTTTAATCACTCGCATAAGTCGAATTTCAGATTTCAGTTTAGAAGAAATAATTTCTTAATTAACCCTTTGTACTCGGCGATCTTTTCGTTGCAGGAACATAGTAATTCGGAGACTTGCTGCCATAAAGTTGACGATATTTTCAAAACGGTAAATAAGAAGTGCAAATTAATAATAAAACGTAGAATTATTTTACCTCGATATTCCATTCCTCGATATTTCGTCGTTGGGAAATTTTAAATTTCCCAGATATTAATTAATAACGATCTTTAGAATATGATTAAATGGCAACTGAGTCGCCTCTCGAGTTCAAAGGGTTAAATTCTCTTCTATTTTCTTTTCTTCTTAATTTCTCAATTTGATTTTCTAATTACGAAATCACAAACTTCCTCAAAAAATTTTTGTATATTCTTTATGTTATTTTTCCATCGTTTTTAAATATACCTGCGTGTATATGCAACTATAGTACAAATGATCCATTCCAGTACGCCATCTTTGCTTCCATAAATGTAAAGTTCACGTTCCAATGAGACGTGCAATGCTAATGTGATCAGGACCTCAGCGTAAGTGCAAAGAACTCCCGTAATCTTTCCATCGATTGCAACAAAAATCCCTAGATTTCCTATGCAACTATTTCGCATATGTCCATAAAAGACCTCATCTTTAGCTTCGTAGACGCAACTCACGCAATTCTGACGAATACCAAATGTAATTTAACCGTAAAGATCAGTTACGATCTTTCCATCAATTGCAACAAAAATCCCTAGGTCTATCGTGCAACTAGCTCATACGTATTCTATTCCAGAAATGCAAAGCTTGCATTCAAATCAGCTGGACAATTGTAATACATTTTACATATCCATTTAAACGTAAAGACCCCTCGCGATTTTTTTGTCACTCATCCAACAAAAGCCCCTACATTTACTATGCAACTATTTTATATGTATCCTATTCGAGCATTCCTTCACTGCTTCCATAGATGCAATACTCGTACTGTAGTCAGACATACATACAATACTAATGCGATCCAGACGTTAGCCCGTAATGGCCCCTTGCAACTTTCTATCGACGGTAACAGAAATCCCTAGATTTACCATGTAACTATCTCACATGTAGTCATTTGGTTCTATATCTGCAACAGACGTGTTGCAATCAAACGTGAGTTTCGAATACGGTATAAATATCAATTTAAACGCAGAGACCTCACAAAGAGTTGCATTACTTCCAACAAAAATTCCTAGATTTACCACCTAGCTATAATTCACGTGTATCTATTCAAAGTTTAAAAATTTCGCTCTATACATGCAACACATCCATTCTCATCGGACATGCAATTCGAATACAATCTAAATATCAATTTGAACTGAAAGATTTCTTGCCATTTTCCATCAATCGCGACAAAAATCCCTAGATTTATCATGTAACTATCTCACACGTATCCTATGCCACGATTGTAAAGCTCGTATTATTAGTCGTGCAATTCTAATACATTCTGAACATGGATATAAACCAAAAAACCTCTCTCAGTTGCCCATCAATCGCAACAAAAACTCCCTAGATTTATCACTTATCTATTTCACACCTATCTCATTCAATGTTCTTCATTTTCCATCCTCAAATGTAACACACGCATTACTAACGTGAGCCGGACACCAGCTTAAGCATAACAAGCTCTAGCTATTTTCCATTAATCACAACAAAAATCCCTAGACATGCCACTTATCTATTTCACACCTATCTCATTGAAAGTTCCTCATTTTCCATCCACAAATGTAACACGCGCATTACTAATATGATCCGGACACCAGCCTAAGCATAACGAGCTCTAGCTACTTTCCGTCAATCCTTATAAAAATCCCTAGATCTGCCACGAACGTAACTATTACACGTGTATCTTTTCGAAGACCCCAACTTTGGTTCTATGCATTGCAACTAGACTTGCCTTTCTAATGCAGTCCAAATATCAATTTAAATCCCAAGACCTCACACGATGTTCCATCAATCGCGGCAAAAAGTCCCCAGATTTACCACGCAGCTATTTTACACGTGTTACACCCATTCGACCATTCTACTACTGCTTCCATAGACGCAACACTCGCACTGCAATCGGACATGCAATGCTAACTCGGTCCGGATATCAATCTGAGCGCGAGGATCTCGGGCCCCGAAGGAGGGTCGGTCCCTTCTTTTCCACCGGGACGCGGCCCCTATGATGTACTGCCGCCCCTTATCTTTACGTGCGTTGCACTTGGGTCTATCCTGTACGCATGTGCGGATGCACATCACGCGCGACTGCGGTGCGCCGTCGGGATGATTGAAGGGAAGGGAAAAAGGAAAAAGCCGCAGGACCGACTGCCCATTTTTCGACCAGTGAATTTCCAGGGTTTGTTTAGTGCTTTATAATTGGATCCAGAACGCTGGTTATTCTATTCCACTACTAGTTACGTGTACTCTGGACTTCTAGAGACTACTTGTGCGGCATTTGTTCCTTTGAAATTGTTTTTTAATCGTATTGAAATTTATTTTTATTTTTGTCCTTTTTATTTCCTATTAGGATTGGCGTGCATGTTTGAATATTTGGAATCGATTTGTCGTACGTTTTTACTTTGGTATGAGATATTCATGAATTTCAAAATAAATAGGTTTTTTAATATCAATGTGATATTGGAATTTTCTATTCCTGTTTTATTCGAATCTCTTTCGGTCAATCTCTTATGAACGAAAAACGAGGTAACGGTACTCAGAATATACAGGATGGTGGACAATTGGTGATTTATCTTAGCAGAGATGATTCTACACGAAAAAATAAATCGATAATATAGAATGACATTTTTGCATAGCAATCCTCAGTTTCGAGAAAATCGACTTTACATATTCGTCGGGGCTGCATGCGTTTGATTATGTTTTCACTTAGCAGATCTCGCTGTAAATTACTGTCTTCATAAATCTATTACAAATCTATCCAACAAATTTGTCGTGTTCATTATATTAAAAAATAAATCTAATAATAATCCAATAATAAATCTTAAGTAGAGACGTTATCAATGCCCACCCAACAAATATTTAAACGCGATTTTCTCGAAAACAGAGCCTCGTAGCAGAAAATGTTATTCCACATTTTCGACGTATTTTTTCACGAAGATTCGTCCTCTGTCCAATTATACCATTAATTATCAATCTCCTTGTATAATAAACTGCTAGAAACACGACCTAAGCGAAAATATATGTATATGAAAGTAACCAAATTTTTCCCACTGTGTCTATCGACATACATTCGCAATCGTGAATCAAGACATCCTTCGAGAAGAAATTTGTCTCGATCACTCTTCTCCCGAACAAAGTACTCGGTGACACACTTTTACCAGGGGACAGAATCGTTCCACCGTTGGTGATACCGTATCCGAGATGACTAAATGCAGCTCTCGGACAATTCGTTCCTCGAATTCGGATTCCTCGTAGAGAAATCGGCGGTATCAGGCCGCGCAACACGGGCCCCCATAAATAAGGAGCTGTTCTCCTACGTGAGAGACGTATTAGCGACGATTATCGTTCCCATGCTCGCGTAATTTTCGCATAGCGAAACGTCGACGCGACATTCTCATCCACCCCTGGCCCCTCCCCGGTATTATGCGGGAATTATCTACTTACTCCAGAATGCGAGTGCACGTTCCACGGTAAATGCCACGTCGCTTTTTCTCTCTCCTCGCTTTCTCCGCCCGGACACTCGTGATACGCGAATTAAAGATAAGCGATTATCTGGATGGATATACCTGCCTCTGAGTCTACGTGTCTGTGCACGCGTGTATGTTGGTAAGAGATTGGGATTTTGGTGTAATTGTTCGTTAAAATGGTTACTCTGACCGAGATGGTGATGAAAGTTCACGTTTGAAAGGGTTTGCCAGTGTTGGGAGTGATTCGATGTTGAATTATTTATTTATTTGTTTATATACAATTAACGGGTAGTCCCATTAGTGTACGTTTGTAAATTTAACAAGTTCTATATTTTATTTTGAG